AACTGGTGATACTGAGGCTTTTTAGGACCCCTTATTGCCGAACCAGGAAATAAAGATTCTGACTACTTCTATGACATTCATTTGTTGGTGACTTTTAAAACTCTGCAATAGAAACTCTTTACTGGAACAATAATGTTGGTGTCTGCTCCTCACTACGGAACTTTTATTCACTGTCATGGTGACATTAACTGCTGATCGCTACCGCTGTTTCAGAGTCCTTCCCGAGTATAACGTTACATCGAAGAAAGACTTCTTTGGATATCGTATATTGTAATCATACAATGGCTTTACAATACATCTTAGAAACACTAACTATTTTAAATAATTTAAACACACCAAAATGTAATTGTTTATAAAGGCAACCACAAGCTCACACTATTGTAAAACCACATTAACGGAGTAGCTCGAGTTTGGATTAACCTGTGATATTATCCTGAGTGAGACTGGTTGAGATGATGAGCTCAATGCTCGTAGTTTCTCTTGTGAAAAAAAAAAACCTTCACAAAAACGTCTCTATAATGAATATTTATGTATTCCTCAGGAACCAGCAGGTTCTCAAATCTGTAAGAGTATAAAGTGAGGACTATAGGGAATGGCAATGTATGTGACATAACACTGATAACGTCAATAAAACATCCAAAATCCTCATGTTACCGGTCTAGTGTCATAGTTGTTTTTAATGTGTGCAATTATATCCAGCCTATAAATTAATCAGTCCGAGTTTACGCTCCAAGCAGTGTGGAGAACTTTGTCAGCTGTGGCAGAGTGCACATTCATGCTACACTATCTGTATTTACCGTCCATCGAGTTTAATATTAAAATCTAGACGTTTCGCTCACTCATCCCAATAGTCTACAAAATTCAGTTTAGTCTACATGTGCTGCACGTCACAACTCTGGATTTGAAAATAAAGTCATAATTATAAAATTGGTAAATACTGCACAATAAGACCTAAATGCATGTAAATCTGATTAAACGGAGTTATCGTTTGAGCAATAGCGTTATTGTCAATAATTTAAACCCACCGAAATCAAATCCTTAGGCTACTTAAGCAACATACCAGCTCTGGTGTAGAAAACAAATGTACCCACATGTGATCATGGTGGACAAACTCAAGTTCAATATACAATGCAAGTCTTACATAGCAGCTAAATTGACCAATTTGTGACTGAAGGAAAGAAATGATTTGTAAGTAAGAGTTTGCTGACATGTACATAATATCATTGTGATTAGTGAAATAAAAGTCTGTAGACTTTAAAAGGAAATAAGATCAATGAAAACAGCTGTTGTATCACAAGTTAATCTGGTCATATCATGCTTTGCCACAGCTAACTTCAAGATGGGTTTACATATTTACAGTCTTTATGAAAGTATAAACTGTTCTGAAAAGATTTTGACGTCAGTATAATATCAATGTATGAAGACAACAAAAACATTTTGTAAAGGATTTATTGGCATGACATGTACCTTATGTTAATGATTTGATTTTGGTGGGTCTAAATGCAAGTTAGAAATTAAGATAAGATAAGATATAAGATATTCCTTTATTTGTCCCACAATGGGGAAATTCCAATTCCAAATTACAGACATTATTTCTAAAATATGTTGTAAAGGTTTATGGTTACCATATATAATGACACAATTTAATCACATTTGACATGCTTTCAGGTTTTACTATTGTGCAGCATTTACAAATGTGACTGTGACAAGATTATCGCTTGATGATCCCTGTCCAAATTTACTTAAAAACCTAAAAAGAATTGACATGTGAATGAAACTCATACAGACTACCACCCCAACCCCCATACATGCACCTGTGCGTAGTTAACCAAACCTAGACGATTCTGTTCTGATCTTAGTTTGTACAGCTGGGCATCCAACTTCTGCCCCTATTGCAAAATAGGTAACAATATCTAATTTGGTTGAAAGACTTTGCTGACATGTATAGAATATAAATAAAAGATAAAGTCTGTAAACCTTATTATGAAACGTGATCAATGGTAGACAGATTGCATCACAAGTTAATCTGCTCATAATGGTTTGTCACAACTCTACTTGAAGATGGTATTAAACATATACTGACTGTTTCAATGTATAATACCACAATTCTATCACATCTTATAATCTCTGTCCCATTTATTCAAAATCCCATGTGAATCGGATTTGTATATCGTAGACCCACTACTGATTAAAGTTTTAACATTATCCAATTTCTCTTCCTATTGCAAAATGAGATTTGACAGTTGTCTAATTTGGATGAAAGAGTGTGCTGTTATGTGTATAATATCATTGTGATTGGTGAGATAAAAGTGTAGACGCGACATGATCGATGGTAAAATGTTGTAGGCTATCACCAGTTGATCTGGGCGTACCACGCTTTGCCACAGCTGACTCCACACTGCGTTAAACATATACTGCAGACTGTATGTTTCCTTACACACTGTGTGACAGTATAAACTCTTCTCAAATAGACTTGACATCAGATTAATAAGGATTCGTAAAACGACAGAAAGAACATTTTTTTAATTATTTATTGACATTTGCAGTGTTTGGAACAGGCATCGACACAGTCACCTACTGTGTCATTCTCTTCAAGCGTCCGGAGATCGCCGCCGCAAATAAAATTGATTCAAACTCCAGGTAACTCCGTTAATCTTATTAGACATCAGAACTGGAGTGTTTACAATGTTAAGGATTTCATTCTGGTTGGTTAAAATTATGAAAAGAAGTCAATTCAGTCAGTATTTCTAGTGTACAGATCTGCATCAATGCTCGGGAATATCACCAGTTAATTCAACCACCAGTTAAACCGACACACCGGCCAGAACACCAACTTAAGGCTAAGTAATGCTCAGAGGTTCACAATGAAGAAGAAGGTGATGGATAGTGCAGGTGGTTTAATATCCTCTTGCTGACAATGAGGTCATGCGGTTTTTCTATAGCAAAGGAACAATAACAAATATACACAAATGAATAAGAATAAAGCTCTAAATCACTAATAAACATACTAAAGGAGTACTGAAATTACTACATCCCCAAAATAACAGTCCTGAAACACTCTTCACCTGACTTACTAGCATATTAACACACATATAAACATGGTAATATTTAAGTAACACTCACTGTAAGCATTACACTAGCGAGTCGGAGCGATAACAATAACGTAACATGTGACGTGACGTACACTTGATCAGAGGCAGGTGAGCTAAATGCTACAACTAGCTTAAACAGTGACCACATGGCAAGTCTGACAGCTACACATCAGAACAACAAAATAAACTATAGCTGCAGCAACGTAAACACAGTACATCAACAATATATCCGGACATACTCACTTTCCATCCACGCACAGACCACTTGCCGTGGCGTTAATTGTTAATTGAACCGTGAATCCCTCACTCTGCCGTCTCACCGGAGCACACACCTCTCTGACCAAGTACCGTCAGTTACGCTATATAACCAAAGGGGGGGCGCTCTTATATGAGCTGACCAACACTACATCTATGAAATCACACACTAAACATAATATGTCCCAACTTTGGGGCCTTTTCTACACTAGTTGTTGCAACCATAGACATATATACATAGACGCTGCATCGACTGTGGAGCGACGTGCCTACAGGGCGGCCATCTTGGAACAGGGCTAGCAGAGGCAGCGGTGCATCAACCTACGAAGGAAAGAGGAACTCCGCAATCTCAAAGTAGAATTAGTCGCTGAATTTTGGACCGATTTCCAAACGTATTGATTTGTTAAAAACGTCACACATGTAGCTATGATACAGGGTGCTTGGATATTTTAAAAATGCTGGTTTTACTACCCAAATACAAATTCTACTTAATGTTATCAGCAGACGAGCGTCTGACAGAAGATTCATGATTAACTTGAGCACAGCTTTTTTTGTAATTGCAGCATTTCTTTATTCATTAACTTATTCACTTACTGTAGTTACTTACTGTATTTACTGCAAACAGAAATACACTGACAGCAGCCAGGATCATGTAAATTGTATGAAAACTGCAATGTGATGCTGGTTTGCATAAAGACTTTTAATGGTTTTAGTGTTTGCAGATATTTGAAGACATACAGAGAAAATTGGGGCCCTGAGAGGAAAACAGCTGCTCAGGAACTGAAACCTGTGTGACAAAATACACAATAATAGTCTTTAGATTAGATGAAAACTACTGTAGTTCATTTTTGTCATTATCACAACATTTGTTCTTGTCTGTGTGTGACTGTGTCAGAAATAAGTCTGAATCAAATAGCATGCAGTGTGGTTTATTTGGATTTTTTGTTATTGGTTTGCTATAATATTATTATTTCCAAATAAAATAAAAATGTAACAAAAACTAAACAATTTGTAACATATGACAGGCACAAGTTTATTTGTGATCATGGAGATATGTAGCTACCTTTCATCCCTAAATAACTACAGTGTATTTCTTGTTTTATTGTATCAAACTGTCAATTGGTCATGAATTGTGGATTTAAATCCAGTCATAAGTCAGTAAATGTAGCATTGTGTGGTGTGTTTTATAATTTTTTAATCTGAGGACATTAATCAGTTGAGACAGTGCAGGGTCTCCTTTTGGAAACAGAAGAGAGAGAAACTTGACACTGACTGTCGTCCAGTGGTTTTATACCAGAAACTCATTTTTATTTTAGTTATTATATTTTTCACTCACATATTATCATGGAGTTTATATCCACATAATTTGCAGTGTCTTAATTTATATAAATGTTTAGTATTTGCAACAGTTGAATTGCTGCAACCAGATTGTGCTGTCTTTGGCCCTTTTATCAACAAGTGCATTTTATTGTGTTTTTATGTTTTTAATATTTCGTAATAAAATATGAGGAACAGTTTTCTGGACTTAAATTGAGAGACAATTATTAATTTATTCACTAAAATACATCTAAATAAAAGGTAATGTAGCATATAAAACTATGTATTAAAAAATCATCATCACCATGTCATATATCATCATATATAATACAAATACTATGAATACTTAATGCACAGACTCTACCAGCCTGAAAGATGAGTACTGTAGGATTTTGTACAGCTGCTCAACCAACTCCAGTCACTGTGGCTCTCGAGCACAATAATAAACAGCAGAATCTTCAGTCTTCAGACTGTTCATCTGCAGATACACCTGCTGTCTGCTGTTGTCTTTGGAGATGGTAAACCGGCCTTGAACTGACTGAGAGTAGCGTTTCCTGTCATTATCATTTTCCACCCAGGCAATCCACTCCAGTCCTTTTCCAGGAGCCTGTCTGATCCAGGCCATATGATAGCTGCTGAATGTGAATCCAGAGGCTGTACAGGTCAATCTGTGAGATTCTCCAGGCCTTTTAACCACTGGTTCAGATTCTGTCAGAGTCTGACCATCAACACCTGTCAAACCAAGAAAGATATATGTTATGTGTTACATTGGTAGTAAAAATGAAAATATGTCAAATCAACATCAGTGAAGATGTTCACCTGCCCAGCAGATAGTTAACAGCAGCAGTCCTGTCCTATAGTCCATCATGTTAAACTGTGTGTCCACTGTTCTCTGTCATCCTCTCTGCAGTCAGATAAGTAGAGGTGGAAGACATCTGAGTTTTGCATTGACTCCTCCTCACAGTGTGGAACTGGATTTGACTTTGATCTCATTTGATGTTTGGTGAAACTGCAGAATGAATGTTTACTGTACATTAGTCATTCCTCCAAGAGTCCCTCTTGCATGTTTCAGTATAATTTGTGCAACAGGTTGACAAACACATTATTTAAGTTGGTTGACCCTTATTAAAGACCACATTATAGCGCACAGTCATGTAGAGTAAGAGAGTAACAGAGTAAGAGACCTAGCAGGTGAAGGTTGGAGATGACTTCATGTACTGTCACAGATTCTTGTTAACTCAGAATTTTATATTTCACACCTGTGGAAAGAAATCAGATGTAAAATCTACCTGTATACATGTACGGAAATTATTCTCATAGCAACCGTCTAACAGAAGCTTTTTTAAAAGGAGGTGAAATGATCTTAGCCTCTGTTAATTATGCCTCTCCTACAAGCATATAGAGTCAGCTGTTTTTCCCTCCTGGATGAGACCTCATTTATATATAATCAGTTATGTATTTAACACTTGTTTTATTTCATTCATTATGTGTTTAATTTGTGTCATTTCAATCATTACTTAGTAGTTACAATTTCTTCTTTTAAAGGAGTTTTGATATATCCATACAAAGATAAATTTGTGGTTTTAAGAAAAAAAAGAACAGGGCATTTTGTGTTGCATTTTGTCTCATTAATATTAACGAGCCTCTCTTCTGATTGGCTGACTGTTTCTCAGTGACAGGCCAACCTGTAGCCGGTGCGTCGTGCTGGGAGCATGGCTGATGGTGGCGACTGTATAGTTCAATCACAACCTTATGGAAGTTCTGACAGTTTGTTTAAAGGCACAGTTTCTGAATACTGGCTGTGTGCATTTCTCTGTGGAATGAGCTTTTTGATACTTTCACAGTATTTATACAGCACCTACCTGCTTTATAATCACACAAGAAATGGAAATCTCACTTTCCACAATATGGGACCTTTAATTATTGAAATATAAGAGAAAATGTTTCACTCCTGCCTTACAGAATAAAAGATGGGGATATTATTAACCAGTACATTGTGGTAGATAAGCACATTAAACCATAAAAAAGAGGAAGTGACAAACCACAGCCTCAGCTGGTGCGTTCACATTGTGTTTGTTTCTCTGTATGTGTAGGTAAGATGCCACACTGGTTTTAAGATCTCCTGCTGCCCCCTTTTGGTGACTGTGAAGATAAGTTGTTTGAGGTTTTTGTAAAGCTTTTTTGCTCACTTAGATGAGGCTGTCGAATCCCTGGACATTCAAACCTGCCCAAGAAACAGATGTTAAAGGACACAAGTGAGAACGAGAGAGAAATAAACAGCAGAACATTAAATGTGTGCATTCTCTGATCAGTATTGCACCATGAAGCAACATACAGGGCAGACAGAGTGCTGTCAGCAGTACAGACAGTTTGTCCATCATCTTGAGACTGAAGATGTGAACTCAGATGCTGCAGAAGTAAACCCTCTGAAAGCTCTGGATTTGCATTGGCAGTTTGTCAGGGAGGGGCTTATTTGTATAATAGATTTGATATATATCAAATACATCTCCAAGCTAAAAATACTTTGTGCTTTTGATTCTTAACTCTGCATATATGGTATATAACACTGTGAACAGGGCCCCTGAGTAAATTTAGCTCATAATACTTATGTCCTTTTATTCAAGTAAAACCCTTATTATGAAGTCTTACCTTTATTTCAGTACACAGCCTTTAGAAAACCAATTCTTCTTGTAAAGCTGCTCACAGGGGAATTAATTTCAATAAGTTCAGTATGACAAATCTAGTGTTACAGGTTCTCTGTTTGCAATGAGCAGGGGCGGTCCTAGACCATTTGGTGCCCTAGGCGAGCTTTACTGATAGCGCCCCATCCCCACGAGAAAAGAACTCATGTCCAAAGAATTGCACATTTATTTAAACAATGATAATACAAACAATATAACAATATGTGCAAAATAATAAACCTGTTCAATAATAAATATACAAAAAATAAACTTTTAAACATATTTTTAACAGTAGTGCAATATCTGAGAACAAAAAGTGCACACTAAAGAATCAAAACTAAAAATTAAACTAACAATAAAACATTGTGTGCAAAATTAGATACTGTAAAATGTGATTCATATAACCTATTAATCAAAATATAATATACAAAATAAACAAATAAGGTTCAAATTCACCCCAAGTGAATAGAATAATATATTCTACTTCACACTAATATCACACTTCATTCACAATGCAATCTTTCTGGCCTTCCTTGCCGCAAAGTCATCAATAACCTCCTGAGGGTGAGGTTGGCAGGAAGAGCAGCATGCTCTTGTTGTGTCTCTTCTGGTGGCTCTAGGTCCATAAACATAGAGAGAACGCACAAGAGCAAATACATTGACTGGATGAGACATGGCACAACATATTGTCATTTTCACGTAAGTCAATACATTTTTATCATCACAAACATTCACTGACACATTAAACTCACCTGAGGAAACCGGAGCAGCTGAGGTGCATGGCTGTTCCTGGTCTGATGATTCAGCTGCAGGTGGTCCCAAATATTTTAATAGTGAATCTAAAATGATATAACAAACAAGTGTATTATCAACATGGAGTAAATCATTTCCATTTTTCAAATGATATTATTATTAAGTTGCTAAGCATTTTAATTTTGGCATTCTTTTTATATAAATTCACTTAGGATGTGTCCGAAATCACTCACTCATTCCCTACTCCCTAGTCACTACATAGGGACTCCAACGTAGAGGACTATATAGGGAGTAGTGGGTGACATAGCCTTAGTCCCATATGCTCACAGCTCTATGTGCATACCTCTCTGCATAAACATAACTCTACCTGTATATATCATTTATTATTATTATTATGCTCAACTTATTTGATTCAATATTCCATCAGTATGTAACTTATACTTATTTCTGTTCATCAGTATATAACATATGCTCATCTTTTGCACCTCTGTCTATAAAGTCCACATGTTGATATCCTCATCTGCATATGAGGCACTGACTCACTCAGCACTTTACTAGTTTGCACTCTGGTTAGATGTAAAACTGTATTTCACGGTACTTGAACTTGAGAGTAAAGTTAAAACTAATCCCAAACTGAATCTAATCTAATTTTGCTATATGGACAGTAATAATAGACTTTTCACATCCACTCAATTTTTTATTTCATAGCACACAATGAGATGCAAAGTGCTAACGTTATATACTGTAGCTAGCATCAACTTGTATAGTGTTTTTCTCGAGAAATAGCCAGCCAGTGAAGGCCAACCCAGGCCAGCAGTCTGAACCAGTCTTATTATGACAATATTGGGCCGACTGCATGTTAATAACGACCAAACCTAACCTTGCTACTTAACGTGAGCTTACGAGTAAGATGACACGATGCTACTGCTAGCTAGCATGATTATATCCTGAATGCTCTGTGAATTTAATAAATATATAATTAAAATGATGTAGCTTTCTCTTGTGCACGTTTCTCCTGCTCTTCTTTTCTACACTTTCGAAACTTCGCCCATTTTGGACTGTAGCTGTAACCATGGTAACCCGTCGACACGCACACCGACTGCGCATCAGTGTGCGCGCTAGCATGTTGTGACCGTGACGTGTAACAGCTAAAGGTCACGTCAGAATTGTCATTTCTTTTGCTTAAGTTGAATTTATTTTTTTATGTCAAAGTATTGTAGTTGTAGATAGAGGGATGGCAAAAACTGTTGAAGAAATAAATAGACATTATCATTTTAATTATAATGTTTTTCTCGCCGCATATTTGGCGCCCCTCACTAGGTGGCGCCCTAGGCAAGCGCCTATGTCGCCTGTAGGAAGGACCGCCACTGCTCAAGCTGCTCAGGAACTGAAACCTGTGTGACAACATGCAAAACACTAAATGAATTAGCTTAGATGCAAACTAAAGTAATTTATAAATTACCTGTTGAAGGCTCATTATCACCACATTTTACAGATATCTGTTTGTAGTTGTTGCACAAATCAATAATAATCAAATATTATGCAGTGTGGCTGTTTAGCTATACTAAGTTTTATTTCCAATTTTTTTTTTTTTATAGAAAAACATAAAGAAATTGTAACACATGAAGGCAGAGGTTTATTGGTGCCCACAGAGACCTTTCATCCCTGAATAACTTATTGCATCAAATTATTTCTCATAAAATGTAACTTTAAATCCAGTCATACATCAGTAAATGTCTATGTGTTGTAGCAGTTTGAATTCATGGACCTGAAGACATTAATTATTTGAGACAGTGCAGGGATATAATATAGTATATAAAAGTACTGTAGGATTTTGTACAGCTGCTCAACCAACTCCAGTCACTGTGGCTCTCGAGCACAATAATAAACAGCAGAATCTTCAGTCTTCAGACTGTTCATCTGCAGATACACCTGCTGTCTGCTGTTGTCTCTGGAGATGGTAAACCGGCCTTGAACTGACCGGGAGTAGTAGATGCTGCTACTGCCACTGCTGATTAAAGCAATCCACTCCAGTCCTTTTCCAGCAGCCTGTCTGATCCAAACATTTGTGTAATGGCTACCAAACCCTGAATATGTACAGGTCAATCTGTGGGACTCTCCAGGCCTTTTAACCACTGGTTCAGACTCAGTCAGTGTTTGACCCTCAGTGCCTGCAGACAGTTAAACACATCATTAGTTACTGTAATGCAGCCATATTGTCTTTGTATCAGGAGGTTTGTCAGACAAACAATGATTGTTCTTACCTGCACAATTAATAGACAGGATGAGAAAAACAACCAAATAATCCGGTCTGATCATTGTAAAAGCCAGTTGTCTCTGTCCAGTCTACAGTGTGTATGATTTAGTCTTTGTCCTTCACTATGCAACACATATGTAGAGATGGAAGAGATCAGAGTTTTGCATTGACTCCTCCTCCTCACAGAGAAACACACCACATCTCACACATCTCTGAAAAAAACAGGATTTTGATCATTTTATATTATAATGATCATTTTCAATAATTATGAATAATTACAATGTCCATCAAGTTATTTGACCTGATGTTTATACCAACTTGTATTTATTTATATTGTTCTGCAGCATTTAGTAGTACATCCATGTACTGGACATATCATGCATAAATGTCCAAATACATTCTCAACACCTGCTGTTAAAAAGCAATAATGGGAACATTATTAACCATTATTATTGTAGAAAACAATATGTTAAATGTAAGACTGAGAAACTCGTAGTTATAAACTACAACATCAGCTGTTGTTTTCATTGTGTACATGCGTTTCTCATACTCTCCTTTATTTGAGTTATCCGACTTTTTTACAATTACAGGTTTTAATCCATTAGCTGATTGTCCATCCATGTTGGATACAATATCACATCCAAAAACAGGAACTTGGGGGAAAAAATCATTCAAATAAAAAACAAAACAAAATTAAGATATTTTTCTTCACCTCAGAGAAAGAGAATTTTTAATCATGGATTAAATGATTATTAATAAAAATCAGCATTGCAAATAAATGTATTACAGATAAAATGTAATGTTCACCCTGGATGTTGTAAATAGAGGAAGTAGTTTTTGTATGACTCTCCTGTTATTGTCTCTCACTGTGTCTCTCTGGCACAGTAATACACTGCTGTGTCCTCGGTCTTCAGACTGTTCATCTGTAGATAGACTTTACTGCTGGAGTCATCTCTGGAGATGGTGAATCTACCCTGGACTGACTGGGAGTAATAGATCGGAGTACTAGATGTGTGTACGAGAGCGATCCACTCCAGTCCTTTTCCAGGAGCCTGTCTGATCCAGTTCCAAACTGAGCTTCCGAAGTTAAATCCAGATGTTGTGCAGGTGAGTCTGTGGGATTCTCCAGGTTGTCTAACTGCTGGTTCAGACTCTGTTATAGTCTGACCTTCTGCACCAGTTGAAACCAACAGAGCAACCAGCAGGAGTGTTAGCTTTCTGTGAGCCATGTTCACCATGCTTCTGTTTTCAAATCCACAGATCCTCTTTAAATATGATGGAAACTGGATCCCTGTGAGAATTTGTTTACAGGAAGCTCCTCCTACATCACATTCTGCTTTTATAGTGAAATTCAAGGTTTCGAACACAAAACAAAACAATTTAAACAACCTGATCATTAGCAAAAGACATCTGTACCTCCATGACTATAACAGACTGCTGAGTAAATTTAGATATTTCGACTTTTATTCATGTGTTTTTAAAATGACCCGGAAGATTTGTTCTCCTAAAACTTCACTGGCTTTAAAACAGTTTAATTCAGAAATCCTAAGATCATAAATAATTGTAAGATTAATTGATTTACTGATTAATTTCATTTTATATATTTACTGCAAACACAAGTATGTAAGATCATGTAAATGAGTTTGCTGCAGCTGGTTGAAGGCCTGGATTTTATGTTATGTTTTGCTTGTTTTTTACTTTTAAAGAATTCAGCATCCAAATTATGGATGTTTGAAGTCACAGACATACAGAGAAACTTGGAGCCTCAAATGGAAATGAACTAGTTATAAACAGAAATGTGTGTGATGATGTACAAAATACTAGGGAAAATGTCTGCTTGCTTATCTGTCAAATACAGTATGAATGTGATGTTTAATGTCACAAGAGGAAACAAAACATAATTTTCTTTTTTTTTTTTTTTTAATTATCTCAATTCAAAGTCTGCATGACTCTGCATATTATTTTCACCTGCTCTCCAAACTAAATGAGACTTGTAAAGCATAACCACACAAATGCTGTTCATTTTCTCTGAGGAGTGGTTTTAATGAAGCTCTGTTATAAAGATGAGTACAGTAGGATTTTGTACAGCTGCTCAACCAACTCCAGTCACTGTGAGTCTCGAGCACAATAATAAACAGCAGAATCTTCAGTCTTGAGACTGTTCATCTGCAGATACACCTGCTGTCTGCTGTTGTCTCTGGAGATGGTAAACCGGCCTTGAACTGACTGGGAGTAGTAAGTGCCACTGCCAGTATTAGCAGCAGCAATCCAATCCAGTCTTTTTCCAGGAGCCTGTCTGACCCAGTTCATCCAGTGGCTGCTGAATGTGAATCCAGAGGTTGTACAGGTCAATCTGTGAGATTCTCCAGGCCTTTTAACCACTGGTTCAGATTCTGTCAGAGTCTGACCATCAACACCTGTTAAACCAAGAAAAATATTCAATCAAGTTTAAGTTGGCAGCGCATATGAAAATATGTCAAATCAACATCAGTGAAGATGTTCACCTGCCCAGCAGATAGTTAACAGCAGCAGTCCTGTCCTATAGTCCATCATGTTAAACTGTGTGTCCACTGTTCTCTGTCATCCTCTCTGCAGTCAGATAAGTAGAGGTGGAAGACATCTGAGTTTTGCATTGACTCCTCCTCACAGGGAGGATAGAATGAGATTGGACTTGGCTTTCAGTATTTTGGTGAAACTGGAATCAATTTTTAGAAGTCAGTTTAATTATATTAATTCATACTGTTGACCTTATTTTAGCTTTTGCTCTTGCACAAATATCCAGTTGCCCCATACAGAGATAAAAGAATCAAAAATCAAAGCTCAACCCTGGTTTAACTTCATAACTCATACGTTTAGGCATTGACTCCTCCTCACAGTGTGGAGAGAACCAGACTGGTCATTGCTTGTTGTTTAGTCAGAGCTGTGACTTGAGCCAAATTAATTTTAATCATGCATCTGAATTTAAAATTGGTGTAAAAGTCAGTACTCTATTTGAAAATAGAATTTTGGTCAAAAAATATTCTACTTAAGAATTATTCACAGGAACAAAAAAAAAAAAAAACACAACTGAAAAATCAAACTCTTGCACGTTGTTTGCCTTTTCTTAAATTAGGCCTTTGTTGGACAAAAGTATCTGTTAAGTAAGTACATATCACATGTTACAAAAGTGAAACAAGGATCATAATAACATCTGGATTTAAATGTTTAAGTAGAAACAAAATCATCCCTAAATTTTGGATAATTAATGAATAATAAAATCGTGCAGTTTTACAATTTAACATTAAAAAGAAGTTGGCTGAAGACTCAGATTCAGGTAATAATGCATTTACTTAACAGCTAACAGTTACATGTTAAATATAATTATTAAACTGAAAGAAGATTTTTTTATCTTCACTGTAACAGTGAACTGGTGTTGAAATCATTAGTGGTCTGAGGGCTCCTCCTCTGGTGGCTTCATGTTACAAGTGTTCTGAGGGGGGCACTGAGGGGTTTTTGTTCAGGTCTACTGATCTCTGGCACAGTAATACACAACAGAGTCTTCAGGATGCACATTCTGTCCGTGTAGAGTCACTGTGTTTCTGGAAGAGTCTAAGTCGATACTGAACTTGTTCTTCAGTGAATCTTTGTAATATATGTTGGATCCAGCTCTGCTTCCAAGAAAATGTTTTGTAACAAATGATCAAGTTATACTGCAAAAGAAGAACTGTTGACTTTGACAAATCCAGAGAGACTCACTAACAAGGAAGGTCACTGAGTTTGCATAGAATCAAACATATGAAGCATCAATGTTGGTCTAACTGGAGCCAATAGAAGAGTCTGTTGACTGTTATTATATCTGCAGAGTGAAAACATGCCTGGAAATCACCTCTGCTTTACATATGATATTTTAACTTCATTACACACTCAACTTTAACATTTTAGCAATTTTACTTTTTATTAACTATAAACGTTGAATGTCTAAATGTATTGTATTACAACAATCTTGTATTAAATATTAAGTAAATTCTACAATAATAGTAAACAACATGTATTGATCGGCTGTGGCTCAGAGGCAGAGCAGGTCGTTCCTCAATCGGAAGGTTGTGGGTTCGATCCCCGGCTCCTGGTGCCACATGTCGAAGTATCCTTGAGCAAGATACTGAACCCCGAATTGCTCCCGATGCCGTGCATCGGTGTGTGAGTGTGTATGAATGTTAGTTTCTGTTCGATGGACTTTGCCATCACTGAGTGAATGTGTGTGAAAGGGTGAATGTGGCACGTAGTGTAAAAAGCGCTTTGAGTGGTCGGAAGACTAGAAAGGCGCTATACAAGTACAGGACCATTTACCATCATTATTGCTAATCTCAATGTGAATATTATCACAACTCATGGATGATTGAAAACATTTTTAAAAAATCAGCATTGCAATAACAATGATGATGTGTACCCATCGAATAAAATGGATCACAAATGTTGCTTTCTATGAGCCGTGTTAACAGTGTGTTTATCATGTTTTTAGGTAATGAAAACACACTTTAAATATGATGTGAGTTATTTTATTCACTGTCAGCACCTCCTACATTACTTTCATGACTAACTTCAAACATATGAGCACAGTCTCTTTGTAATGTAGAATTTGTTTATTAATTTATTTGCTCATTTACTGCATTTACTTAATGCAGCCATGGTGATATTAATTGTATGAAAACTTCAGTCTGATGCTGGTTTGCATGAAATACTTTTAATGGTTTCAGTGTTTGCAGATGATCTATTTCTTTTCTGCTAAGAATGCAGAGGTCAGTCAGTGTCAAGTTTCTCTCTCCTCTGTTACTAAAAAGGACAATAATGTCTGTAAATTATGTTTAAATATTAAGTTATGATGAAGAGAGTCTTCTCTTCATACTAAAAGGAGACTCTCAGATCTGGTGTTCTAATTTATCTTAACTGACTGACACTTGAACTCTGGACTGAACTGAGGCGTAATACTCCTGCTGCTCATGTACACTGGATATTGTGAGAGTTGATACCTTTCTACCCTAAATAAAAGTCCTGTGTTAACTTGATTCAGCAAATGTTTTTCTAATGTTTGAATGTCTGTATTGTCCTAGTTCTTATTTTATGACATAAATAAAACAGTTTTTTTTTCTTATAAGTGGTCTGACCATTAACACCTTTCACAAAAAAAAATCATATGAATTTAGTAGCTACATAATTTAGAACTTTGTCAAATCGAGATCAGGGAATCTTCACTTGCTCAGCAGATATACAAGCAGTCACATGCTTAATTACATTTACAGAGCGAACACAGGGAAACACAGGGAAAACAGGTCACGGCTGAAGGCTTATCCTTTTAAGTCAAACACATTTAAATACTCAACTTCTCTGTCAGGAAGTAACAAACCACACAAACTCTACTGACTCTTTTATTTATTTAAAGGCATACTATGCGGTTTTCCGGTTTTGTCAAACAGCTACCCCTAGAGTCGCTGCGGAGTACTTGTACTTAACGTTAACTCGTAAATACCACTCACCAGAGCCGTCTCTATATACAGCTCTGCGTCTCTGCACTCACGGCCTGATCCCCTCCCCCCTGTATACCGGTACATAGATAGATAGATAGATAGATAGATAGATAGATAGATAGCAGTGGAGGAAATAGTCAGTAATTATTTAATGCCAATATTAAAAAGTTGAGGCATTCTTACACAAAAACATAATCATCATATTGCACAAACACAAGCCTTTCATTTGCATTTTAAACTCAACTTGTAAACAATTGACTACTTCTACACATTTCTTTGACATGCCCTTAAAAACGGTAGCTGTCTTCAGGTGCTCCTCCAGCACACTGTCAAGGGAGGCAACAAAATCCACCAAGCCCCGGAAAATGCCGGGGTTGTCCGAGGAGTCCGAGTCAGTCTCGTCATGACCACGCAAGGCCAACTCAAAAGCCCCACAAAGCTTCGATCATTTTGGATAAAATGTGCCTGTTTTTATCCATCTCCTCATTATGTTTCCTCCCCGCAATCCTGTGGCCGTCTTCCAGCTGCATATCGATGTTCACCCTTCCTAATATGGCGAGCTGTACAGAGTTCTCCATGTGTGCCCTGGTGTTCTCATGTTTCTTTACCTTCTCTGACAGGTGCTTCATATCCCTCACTCCGGTAACTGTCCATGCTGGATCTGTCCCCGTTTTAAAAAGCAAGCACGGAAAGAAAAATAAAGCATTAGCATGAGTGCACCCAGCTCACCACGCCTTCCTGGTGTACCAGCTACGGGAGAAGCCGCCGCCATATACTGCTTCCCTTTCTCGCTAGCCTGCTGTCTGATTGAGAGCTCAGGTTGATCTGGGCCCAGCTCTTTCACCCGAACTTTCTCCGACAAAGTTCTCCTCTCAAACAGATCTTGGAGGAGAGATTTCACCGAGTTAGGGTTGGGTCTTGGAGGGGTAACGTTCGCGCTCGCCATTGTTGTCTAGTAGAAATGGCGCCTCTAGAGCCCGGTCCTTATTTTATCAGGGGCGAGCTTGGGGCAATAAAATAATCACCCTTCTTGGATTCGATTTAAGGACGCTGATTTGCTAAATTTTATGTCATACATTCACATCTTAAATTAGCTTGGCTTAACTGCTACATAGTCCCGCCTCCTGAGGGCGCTTTCTCTAAAAGCCCCAGAGCTGATGAGGCGTTCAGACAGGCAGAGGAAAGGTTGCGAATATGATTTTCTATCATATTTTACACATATTACTGGGTGCATTCCATATTTCAAACACACAAATATTGACATACTGACATTTTTATTATTATTATTATTATTATTATTATTATTATTATTTTTATTATTATTATTATTTTTTTTGTGGCTCAAGGGGGCGCCCTAGCGCCCTCTATTGGCCAGCCGCCACTGATAGATAGATAGATAGATAGATAGATAGATAGATAACTTTATTAATCCCACAATGGGGAAATTCATTTGCATACAGCAGGTCCAAGGTCTTATTGTCTTATTGTGGTGCATGTGACAAACTGGTGGAAGGTTGGGAGTGTGGACGAGAGAGAAACGTGGTTGAAGTCCCCTGTGATGATGATGAAGTCCCCTGTGATGATGATGAAGGCCCCTGTGATGATGATGAAGGCCTTTTCATTGTGTTTCATTTGCAGTCCTGCAGTCACAGTGTGGATGATGGACGTAGTCCGAGGGCGACGAGCTCGATGTCCGGGCTGCAGACACTCTCTTTCACACAGACTTACCGGGGTTACACCACCTGTTGTTTATGAGCACAGCAAGTCCCCCTCCTTTCTTCATACCGGTCGCGGTGCTGTCCCTGTCGGCTCGAACCGTCTGGAAGTCGGGAATGGTGACGTGGGAGTCCGGTATCTGCTGTAGCCACGTTTGTAGCTCCTCCAGTATGGAGGGTCTCTCTCCAGTCAGGATGCTCGGGGGCCTCAGGGCGATCATCTGGTCGCGGGTGTAAACAATGCGACTCCCCGTCGCCATGGAGACCCGTGTAAACAAAAAAATAAAAAGTGCTCAAAAACGCCAAAAAAAGTATTTAGGCGACGTGAACAAAGTAGTAAGAAGGTAAGAAAACAGTTAAAAATAGAAAGAAACAGGCTAAAAACACACTGAAAACACACTAAAACTACAACAATGATAGGAGCTGCCATGACAGGCTGCCGTTGTCGAGGCGCCATTCCAGAGTGGCAGTGGCCACGTGAGGCACCCAGCAAGCTGGTTATTCACCTGAAAGCTCTGGATGTGTCCCTGAGACAACTGCTCTGACCACACACCACACAGAAAATAACAAACCACAAAAATAAAACAAGCCCAAATGGACCATGTAGCTATACCTGACCAGGGAAACTCCACAAAAGCCAAAACATACCACACTAGAGGACCAAACAATCACTTCTGTTAGCTCCTACCTGCGTACTCATTTCAACAGCTGCTGGATGCAGGACCAAACTCCCCCTGACTGAAACAACAATCATATCAACCAAATCTTATCCAAAAATGCATCTCTCCAAACAAAGGATGTGCTCTGTGTTGTTATACTGAATGTGAATGATTTATCTGAATTCTGTTGCTCAGTATTAACTTCTAATTATATGAGCCATCTTAAAATGAGCCTGTATTCATGAACAGAATTTTGACTCTTCACATTTTCCCTTTTGGTTGGAACGGTTTTACTTATACACATACTCAGCTTTGACACTGAGTTGCTGTTTGTTCATTCATGGAGATTGAAAGTCAAACACAGCAGTAGTGCATATATTAATATCTTTAAAATAATATTATTTCAGTGGAACCTGGACAGAGGAATTTTGGTAATGAAAAATAAAATATATGTTAATTACAGTCAGAAAGGCAGGACAAGTGATGCTGAAACAACGAGTGCTCAGAGTGACGGTAAATCGAGGAAGTAGTTTTTGTACGACTCTGCTGTTATTGTCTCTCACTGTGTGTAGCGGGCACAGTAATACACAGCAGAGTCTTCAGGCTGCACATTCTGTCCGTTTAGAGTCACTGTGTTACTGGAAGAGTCTAAGGTGATACTGAACTTGTTCTTCAGTGAATCTTTGTAATATGCTGTGGATCCAACACGTTCCATTCCAATCCACTCCAGTCCTTTCCCTGCAGGCTGTCTGATCCAAGCTGTGTAGTAGCTGCTAACAGAATAAGAGACCTGACAGGTGATGGTCAGACGTTGACCTGGCTGCACAGTCACAGAGGCTGGCTGTGTCAACTGTTCACACTTCACACCTGTTAAAAAAGAAAATGTTTTGTAACAAATGATCAAGTTATACTGCAAAAGAAGAACTGTTGACTTTGACAAATCCAGAGAGACTCACATCCAGCTGCCAACAGCAGCAGCAGAGCTACAGAGAACATGGTTTATGTTGAAACTGACGTGCTGTGAACTCCACTGACAGCCTGATGGGAAGTTTTTATAGCTGAGTAACAAGGAAGGTCACTGAGTTTGCATAGAATCAAACATATGAAGCATCAATGTTGGTCTAACTGGAGCCAATAGAAGAGTCTGTTGACTGTTATTATATCTGCAGAGTGAAAACATGCCTGGAAATCACCTCTGCTTTACATATGATATTTTAACTTCATTACACACTCAACTGTAACATTTTGAAAATGAAACTTTACATTTAGAGTTACAGAAATGAAACAACTGTAACCTTTGCTATGACTATAAACTATTACTGTCTAAATCTTTACTATTAAAACATTTTTTTCTAGAATTACAAACAATAACCAGGATAATTATTCTTAATATGAATATTAACATGTATCATGGGTAATGGAAACATATTTATTCAAATCCATCTACTTTGCTCACTGACTGTACTTACTGACTGTATCTGCTTCAAACAGAAATACAGTGACAGCAGTGAGGACCATGTAAATAATATGAGAACTGTCTGCAGGTTTGCTTTAAAGACATTTAACAGTTTCCATGTTTGCAGATGTTTGAAGACGACTTAGAGCCTCGAGAGGAAAACAGTTGCTCAGGAACTGAAACCTGTGAGACAAAATGCAGAAAAATATAAACCTTTGGTAGGTTGTGCATTTATAAGTTACTGTTTGTATTTATCATCACATTTTACCTTCATGTGCAGTTGGGACAGAAATATGTAGCAATCCACCATTTTCTTTTTACAAATTCAGCTGTTTTATTGCAGTAAATTGTCAATATTCTCTCCACAACTTTTATATATTTCTCTGCAGTTCTAGTTAATTACAATAATTATTTAATTCCTATATCATTTGTTACGATATAACATATTTTTATATAAAGTATTTATTTACATACACAATATATGTATTAAAGTAAATGCATTTTGTTTCCTCCACTTTCTTGCCGTCTCTCAGAAATGGTTTTAATGAATCCACAGAATGTGATGGAAACATTTTCTTGTTTTGTGCTTTAGTTCAGTCCAGAGTTCAAGTGTCAGTCAGTTAAGATCAATGAGAACAGCAGATCTGAGAGTCTCCTTTTAGTAACATAGGAGGGAGAAAGTAGACACTGACTGCCCTCTAGTGTCTTTATAACTGGAACTGTGACATTATTTTTCACTCTCATACTGTGAGCTACTTTAGATGCCAAATGATATAAACATTAATGTGTAGCTGCATGTCTTTCTTTTATTCAGACCTGGACAGTGATTTCAGCAGACTGTTCGGCTGTCATTAGCTGATCTGTGAAGAAGTGATCATTACAGGAAGAAATTGTATTAATTTAGGTGATTAATTTTTATTGTTGTTGGATGATCTTCCTCACAGATTGTTATGTTTTCTTAAAGAAAAGAAGCAAAAGGGAAAAAACAAAAAGAAAAAAAAGATGCCTGGAAATCACCTCTGCTTTACATATGGTATTTTAATTTCATTACACACTCAACTGTAACATTTTGAACATCAAACTGTAAACTTTTCATTAACTAAACTATTATTGTCTAAATGTATTGTTTTGGCTACATTTCAATATTAAAACATATCAGTTTGTATAACTGCAACAACTGTATTGATCATTATAGCTATTCTTGATGTGAATACGAATCATAGATAATGGAAAACATATTCAATAAAATCAGTATTGCAATAACAATGATAATGTGCATCCAATGAAACAAAAGAGCAACCAGAATGTTGCTTTCTATTAAACATGTTTACAGTGTGTTCAGTGTGTTAAATTAATTACAGCAGACTTTGAATATGACACCACATTCCTGATGAAGTATGAGCACAGCGTTTTACTGCAGCATTTGTTTATTCATTTATTCGCTCACATATTGTATTTGCTGCAAACAGAAATACAGTGACAGCAAGGATCATGTGAAACTTCAGTGTTCAGTGAGTTGCTGATGATGTTCGTAATGAGGGAAGAGTTTGCATAGAGCTCCCTCTGCAGGTTTAAAAAGGGAACATGGAACACCAATTAACTTAAAATAGAGAATTATTTCTACAAGAGAAAATAAAATTAATGATAGTTGGTGTTTCTGTATTTGAATGATAAACTTGAAAGTTTTGTTATTGTTTTTGTACACAAAAAGAACAAAACTTGTTTTCTTCTCCAAGCATCAACATACAAGAACACAGATACAAAACATGTTTTATGATTATATATTTTAATTTGTTGTTAAAAATATATGGAATGTGAAATACAGAACAGAAAAGATAAACACAAATCTACATTTAAACTAAACTAAAACATACAATTATACATACATATATACTATAAAAAATACTTAATGCTCTCACTATTGGGCTGTTGTTCAGCTATTGAGGAGTTACTTTGAATGAAGTTCTGTGGAATATGCAAAATATTCCAAAATATATACAGTAATATTATTTCTACATTTATATGTCTGTTCTAATTATTTTTCTATTCAAATGTAAGTGGTTCTCACAAAGGAAATGTATTCTATCATTTTCTTGGACTAGTTGAAGCGAGGACATTTATCTTGAGAGATTATTGTGGTAAAGATGAGTACTGTAGGATTTTGTACAGCTGCTCAACCAACTCCAGTCACTGTGAGTCTCGAGCACAATAATAAACAGCAGAATCTTCAGTCTTCAGACTGTTCATCTGCAGATACACCTGCTGTCTGCTGTTGTCTCTGGAGATGGTAAACCGGCCTTGAACTGACTGAGAGTAGTAGATGCTACCACTGCCACTGCTGATAAAAGCAATCCACTCCAGTTCTTTTCCAGGAGCCTGTCTGATCCAAGTATTATCATAATGACCACTAAACCCTGAATATGTACAGGTCAATCTGTGAGATTCTCCAGGCCTTTTGACCACTGGTTCAGACTCAGTCAGTGTTTGACCCTCAGTACCTGCAGACAGTTAAACACATCATTAGTTACTGTAATACAGCCATATTGTCTTTGTATCAGGAGGTTTGTCAGACAAACAATGATTGTTCTTACCTGCACAGTTAATAGACAGGATGAGAAAAACAACCAAATAATCCGGTCTGATCATTGTAAAAGCCAGTTGTCTCTGTCCAGTCTACAGTGTGTATGATTTAGTCTCTGTCCTTCACTCTGCAACACATCTGTAGAGATGGAAGAGATCAGAGTTTTGCATTGACTCCTCCTCCTCACAGAGAAACACACCACATCTCACACATCTCTGAAAAAAAACAGGATTTAGATCATTTTATATTATAATGATAATTTTTAATGATTACGATGTCCATCAAGTTATTTGACCTGATGTTTATACCAAATTGTATTTATTTATATTGTTCTGCAGCATTTAGTAGTACATCCATATACTAGATATATCATGCATAGATACATTCTCAACACCTGCTGGTAAAAAACAATAATGAGAACATTATTAACCAATATTATTGTATAGAAAACAATATGTTAAATGTAAGACTGAGAAAGTGGAAGACACAAACCACAACATCAGCTGTTGTTTTCATAGTGTGTATGTGTTTGTTAGACTCTCCAGTTTGACTTATCTGCTGCCACCTGTTGGTCTTTGTAATCAAATGTTCTGTGGAGTTTTTGTAAAGCCTCTCTGATCTTGTAAAAAGTGTACTTAAAAATTGTGAACATGTGATGGATGCTGTACCAGAGAATATTGTATGGATGTCTACTTCTTTTCAACCAATGTATGCTGAACTTCAAAAGATGAATAAAAAGAAAATGTATTGACGGACTGCTAGATTGAATCTTCTAAAAGGGAACATTCCTCTGTCTCAATACAAAAATCTAAAAAGACAGCGGAAAATTCTCAAACTACTGGCTGATAAAAAGACCAGCTTAAAACATAAACATCAAACCCTGATGAAACAGTCGGGAGGTTTTATTTTACCTCTGCTTTCGGCAGCAGTGCCCATCCTCGGAAACCTTATAGGCGGACTCATTAGTAAAAAGTAAAATGACATGTCTCTGAGAACGTCGCAAAAAATGTTTCTCGTCTCACCCCATCAGTTAAACTGTCTGATTCAACCAGAATCCTTGACCAGACAGACTATTTAGACGCAAGAATGAGAGCGATATTAAACGAGCCGGGGTTGAGTTCTTATGAAAAAGTACTGCAGGGATATGTCAGGCTAATGAAACAAGGTCAAAGGTACGAGCGTCGGGTGACTTTAACTCTGCAAAGAGACCCGAGCGATGACCCGAAGGTTCAAACTGAACCACACAATGTCGACCATCTTCCTGAAACGGAACGGACAGACTCACACAATGAGTGAGGTAGTAAAGAGACTTCCCCCGCGCAACAGAAAGAATGAAGAAATTATCCAACAACAACGGGGGAAGGATTTCAAAAGAATGTATTTATAAAGGGCAAATCGTGAAAGGGTCTCATATAATTGATTTTATTTAAAAAACCTTTCATGATCCAGGTCATGATCACACCTCATGTACAAACTTTTCAGCTTAAGCCTATAAACATTAAAATATTCTCAATTCTGACATTATAATAAAGAATACATGAAAAAGTTTATTATACAATTGTTTTGCATAATCCATCCATAGGAATGGAGAAACACTCAAATGATGATTTTTATATGAACTCTTCATTTCATTAATTTGTATTGTATGTGTGGTGGCGAGGATAAGGGGAAAATAAACCTAATAATTTGACCAACAACCAAATTAGGGAAAGGAACCGACAACGCCACCCTGGGAATTTCACCCCGAGAATTAATTTGGAGAGGACACAGGTAAGTTTACTCAGTAAGGCATGAGACATGGTTCAGGGAATTATAGAAAAATATACAATTTTATTATTGAATAAGTTAAAAAGAGTTCGATTTCATTCAGCGTGGAGACTCGGCGAAGCAAAGCAGCATTTGAAACAGGACAAAGCAGCAGCGACCCCAATCAGCTGATCGCACGTTACACCTGTTTAGGGACACACACATTCGCACCGGAGGAGGGAGGGAGGGAGAGAGAAGACCGGCCACTGCTGGCATTTACCACGCACAAACTACGCCACACATATGGGAAACACGGAGCAGCTGCCCTGTCGGGTCAACGACCTATGACCCGGAAGTGA